TCATCCACTGGATCCTGCTTCTGCAGGAATTCGACATAGAGATCCGGGACAAGAAAGGAGTCGAGAATGTTCCTACAGATCATCTCTCACGGTTGGAAGCCCCTCCGGTGGACAACTTCGTGGAAGAGATCGACGACTCCTTCCCGGGTGAGCGATTGATGGCGATGACACTGGTGGACAGCGTGGCCCCTTGGTATTCTGACTTTGCCAATTATCTGGTGGGCAAGCAGTTACCCAAGGGGATGGCTACTCATGCAAAGCGCAAGTTCTTCTCCGATCTGAAGCACTACTTCTGGGAGGATCCTTACCTCTTCAGAATCGGAGCAGATGGCGTGATCCGGCGCGGTGTCATGGAGCACGAGATGGGAGACATCCTGTCTCAATGCCACGAGGGACCTACTGGAGCTCATCATGGAGGAAACCGCACGGCAGGGAAGGTGCTACAGTCGGGCTTCTATTGGCCCTCGCTCTTCAAGGATGCAGACACCTTCGCACGACAGTGCGACCGCTGCCAAAGGTCAGGTAACATTTCTTCCCGGGATGAGATTCCCCAACATATCTCTGTTATTTGTGAAATTTTTGATGTTTGTGGTATCGATTTCATGGGCCCATTCCCTCCATCATTTGGCAATCTATACATATTGGTTGCAGTGGACTACGTCTCGAGGTGGGAAGAAGCTCAAGCCATGCCCACCAATGATGCAAGACGGGTCTGCTCATTTCTGAAGCAGCTGTTCTCCCGGTTCGGGACACCTCGCGCCATTATTAGTGACAGAGGAACCCATTTTCAAGGGCAATTCACTAAACTCCTCTCTCGCTTTGGCGTTAAGCATCAGGTGTCGGTAGCCTACCATCCCCAGTCAAATGGGCAGGCCGAGCTGACGAACCGGGAGCTAAAACGAATAATTGAAAAGACGGTGGATCAGTCCCGCAAGGATTGGTCCACCAAGCTCGATGATGCTCTCTGGGCGTATAGGACTGCCTATAAAAATCCGATTGGCACTTCTCCCTATAGGCTTGTCTATGGGAAGGCGTGCCATTTGCCGGTAGAGCTAGAGCACAAGGCCTTCTGGGCCATTAAGCTGCTAAACCTGGATTTGAGTGTTGCATGTACAGAACGTAAGTTGCAGCTGCTGGAGTTGGAGGAGTGGCGTTACCACGCCTACGAGAACACCCTGCTCTACAAAGAGCGCACCAAGCGCCTCCACGACGCGAGGTTAAGGGGCCCGAAGGAGTTTCAGGTAGGTGATCGTGTTCTGCTCTTCAATGCACGCCTGAAATTCTTTCCGGGCAAGCTCCGTTCGAGGTGGTCGGGACCCTTCACGGTCACCCAAGTTTTCCCGCACGGTGCGGTGGAGATCAGCAATGCTCAAACCGAGCCATTCAAGGTGAATGGCCACCTCCTAAAGTTGTATTTGGGAGGTGCTGTCGAGCGCGCAGAGCTGCTGATCAAGCTCGAGGACCCTTGGTTCCTCTACTGGCGTCCAGCTAAAAGACGGTAAAGAAGCGCTTGTGGGGAGGCAACCCCACCACGGTTTGCAATTCTATTCCTTTTCCTTTTTAATTTTTGCCGTTTTCGAGTCATTGAGTCTGTATGGAGTCTTTTTGGAATGTTTCTCGTGCCCCGGATGGTCTATTTTTGTCTATGGTGGTGTCCTTTTTCGAGCCGGGGCACGCTTGGGTTTTGGTTGTTCGAAATTGCAGCTTACAAACTGGAGAAAAGAGCCTTCGGCAGTGAAATTACGGGCATGGGGGGCCAAATTACGGTCGTAATCTTCCTGCCCCCTGCCCGTAATTAAGCCAGAAGAGGGAAAAGGCTCGGCAATAAAATTACGGTCGTAATCCTGCCCGTATTTATTTCAGAGGGGCAATTTGCTCTCGGCAGTCGAATTACGGGCTGCCAGGGGGTAATTACGGCCGTAATTGTGCCCGTAATTACCCCCGAAATTTTTTTAAAAAATGCTCGGCCGAGAATCTCCCTCTCTCTCCTCATTTTTCTGGTCAAACTCTCTCTCTTTTCTCACCGGAAAATCGCCCCACCTTCTTCTCCGGTGGTTTTCCGGCCATAACTCATTCATCGGAGCTCCAAATTGAAATCCAAAACCATCCCCGTGCTCCTCTCGTCGGCGCCCACAAGTCTATACCAGTGTGGTCGAGTTTGGCGGTGGTTTGGGTCGTCGGAAAACCGCAACCTGTCGGTGTTCTTCCGGCCCGATCTCTCTCCTCCGACCTCCAATCGAGAAACCGCGACCACCACCGCGTTCCTGGCATCCGAGCCCTCATTCCCCAAAGTTTTGGGTCATTTTGGCGGTGGTGAAGTCGCCAGCGATGAAACTCCGGCGAGCCTACCGGCGAGTTTTCCGGCAACTGTCGTGGAGTCACCCTCTTCCCTCACCTTCCCTGTGATACCCTTTTGTGCCTCCAGGTGTGTTTCTCTCTTTTTCATTGTGATTTGTGGAGGATTGGTATTATGGGTTTTTAGTGAGGGAATTTGGGGGTTAGGTCGTGTTTGAATGAATTCGGTAGGCCTCCGGCATTACATGCTTTGATGTTACTATTTTGGTAGGCCTACCGTGCAGCATGTGTGTGTGATTGTCCCGCTTGGAGCCTCATTTGATGCCCGGGTTTATTATCCGAGGGCTCCAAGTGCGTTTAATCTTTGATGGTTGGTGATTGGTCTTGATTGTCTTTCCTCCCCTGGGGCCTAGTCCACTGTCCGATTTTCTGAATCGAGGGCCCCGGGTGTGGTTGCTTGTGAACTCACCATTGACAAATTTCAATGTATGTTGTTGTGCTTTTGCTGCTTGTTGGCTGCAGGACCATGAACACTTACCTGAACATGCTCGACGCCGACCAGAGGAAGACTTTGCGGGACATCCGACGCCGCAAAGTCGTTCAGCACCATTACCTCGATTGGAGGGTTTTCGAGGAGCTGGGTGCTCGTGAGGCAATGGAGGTTGCCATCCGCGCTTACTCTTGGTGTCGCCTCCTCTTCCTCGTTGAGCCGATCTATTAGGAGCTCCTCTGGGAGTTCTACTCCTCCTTCAAGCATTTCCGGACCCACGCGGGCGCGCACAGCAACGCCATCCAGTTCCGACTCGGTGGAGAGTTTCACTCCCTTAGCTATGATGACTTCGGTCGGGCACTGGGGCTCCTTCCACCATTCGCTTGTCACCTGGCCATCGAAGAGCCCGACAGTCCCATCTTTCGGGACCAACAATTCTTCGAGAGGATCTGCCTCCCGGAGTTCGCAGGCGCTGTATTCACACCGGGCTACACCATGGCTACTCAGTTGCGCCCAGAGTGGCGCATCCTCAACCAGCTGTTGGGGAAATCTTACACCCCCAGCAAGGGCTCCACCAGTCATCTTCAGCTCCGCACCTTGCATTGCCTGCATTCCATCAGCCAGGAGGTAGACAACCTCCATCTGTCCTCTCTCAATGCTAGGACTGTCGTCAAGGCTTCTCGGTGTGGTCAAGCCCTGGCGTGTGGGCCGGTGGTCACTGCCCTGGCACGGCACTTCAACATCGACCTCTCCGGGTTCACTATCATACTGCCCGCGACGCCCTTCTCAAGGGACACCCTACGGCGCCAGCTGATACTGCAGCGCGATGGGGACGTGACGTAGATCCGGGGCCTTCCTCACCCTGTTCCTCGTGCACTAGAGGGTGAGGACCTCCCCGAGGCGAGTGATGCTGCAGCCCGTCAGACCACTCCTTCTGCGCCTGGCACCTCCACCTTCGCTGCCGGCCCGTCTGCTGCAGCACCCACCACTTACATAGCCGAGAAGCTGGCGGCCATTTCCCGCCAGAATGAGCAGATCCTTGCTGGCCAGGAGCACCTCAACGCCCGACTCGACCGTGAGCGCGAAGGTCCCCGCCGCATCATTTCGGCTCAGCGTTACATGATGAGCTACTGGGACATGGATCCTGCTGCTGTTAGCTACCCTTGGGAGGCGTCCCCGGGGCATGAGGATTACTACCCGCCTCCAGCTGGTGACGAAGGTAATGAGCACTGAGCTGGCTCTGCTAGCCCATCGAGTTGGGCTCTGCTTTTGTCTTTCTTTCCAGACTTAGACTCTGTATTGTGTTTGTTTCTTTTTCTTGTTCTAGTTGTGTGGATTGTAGACTTGGAACTATGATTTCTTTCACCCAATGTGTGTGTGTTTTGTTGCCTCTAGCTCTGAGCCCGTTGGACTGGTCCTTGTCCAGTCCTCTGCTATTGACTGGTCGCCATCCAGTCAACGTTCCTGACCACTGTTTCACGGTAACATCGTTCCCCTTCCCTCTGCTCCATTGAGGACACTGTCGCATTTAAGTGTGTGTGTGGGGGGGGGGTTCTTTGTATTTATTGGAACGTACATACGGGTGCTTGGAGCCTAGTCCGCTATCCAAATCTCGAGATTTGAGGGCTCCAAGCACTGATGTTGCATGATCATATTGGCACTGTGGTTTAATTGGTTAATCAAACGGCTTTCGAATGAATGCATGACAGCTTGATTGTGACTAGGGAAACCTATGATGAGGACTGAGACATGCAGTAGAATGATGTAGGGGTTCAGTTTTTCAACTGTTTGCTTACCAACTGTGACTTGGATTGATCACTTTTTCTTGACAGTCGTTTATGAATCTAGTTCAGGGTATCAGAATGTGAGATAGAGCATATAGGTAGCCATGTGAGATTTGAGCCTGCTCGTTTCTTTCTTGTGCGATAGATCCCTCTACCATCATTTTCTCCCAGTCTCCCAAAAGAACTCGTAGCCACATACAATGCTTATTTCCACAAGATTTGTTCGGAAACAAAAATCCTCCAACCAAACAAATCAGGTAGATGTGAGCATACCTCTCTATCTGAGCATCCGTGGCATCCTCCGACAACGAACTAAAGGTCCTCACTAGCCAATGGATCGAGAACATAGACTTGTGTAGAGGTGGTACAAGATGACCTTGTGGTGCTTCCTCGAGGATGTTGATGCCCAAATGCTCGCTTATGAATTGGCCCTAACCATTGAATGGTTTCTGTGAACTCTCTATTATGGCATCACCATTGATTGGAAGCTCTATTAGCATGGTCACATCCTTCAACGTCATTGTCATCTCTCCCTCCAGAAGGTGGAATATGTGTGTTTCTTTTCTCCACCTTCCCACCATTTCCGTAAAGAGGTTGTTGTACATCTCCATCCCCGCAAAGTTTCGCACCCTCAATAATCTCGATATTTTAATGAAGGGCTCGATCCGAACATCCCATTCAGGCAAACGAGATAACAATCGATGGGTGATTATGTCAAGTTGTTCCTGTAGAAAAAAAAAACTTAATTATTATACGAATAAATTAAAATAATAATATCGCATTTAAAAAAATAAAAGGCACATGAGGAATGCTTACTGGGTCTGCCGCCCAAACATTTTCAGATCGATGGTAAGGTTGCACATCCAAAAAATCGGTTTCTCGTGGTCCACCTTGAATGTATAATCTAGAATAGTAAATACTCGGGTCTATCTCAGCATTTTTGAGGGATAGAGGTACCAAAATAAAGAAAAAAAATTGATGCAGAAGATCAGGCTGAACCGTAACCACATAGCCTATTTTTTTTCTTCAAGAGTGGTGGAAGGAAGAGAAGAAGAAGAGTGGAGTGGTGTGAGGTTTGTTGAAATGGGGGTGGGGGGATTTATACATTCTTTGGGAGGTAGTGGATCGAGGGAAGGATACTCGAACAACTGTATCGAGTTTTGCGCCATCGATCCGTGTCAATACCAGTTCGAGGCAAAGCAAATCCGATGAGTGGGATCGAGTCTTGAGTACTCGATCTATGGTGGATCGTGGTGACATCATCGATCCGTTTCAAGTGGATCAAGACCCAAAATGTCAATCCGGGTAGATAGAGTATCTCGCACTGGATTCTTGTCACAACTACTTCGCGACCGAGGCAATCGAACAAGCTAGATTGATTTTCGCAAACACTATCTATGGTAGAACGCGTCCTACATCATCGATCAGTGTCAACTAGATTCAGTCCTCCTTCGTCGATCCACCTAGATCGAGTTTCCCACACTCAATTCGCTTCGTTGGGTCTCAGCCAATCGTGGCCCTTTCACTCAATGCATACGGATCGATGTTGTGTCAATCGATCTGGTTGTAGTGAAAGTTTCTTGAACTCGATCTGTGCCAAAAAAATTTATTTTGGGAATTTTTTATAAAAGTTATGTATTGTAGGATTTTTTTTAATTTCTACTGTATTTAGGAAAAAATCCGAAGGAATGTTATTACACTTACGATTGCGGAAAGTTAGTTTTTATTTGATGGAACGATCTAAGTACTCAAAACTGGAAGATGATTCTTTTCTAGTCCTTGTAGTTCTGGCATACTCTCTCTGTTCATACTATGTGTTGAAATCATGTTGCATAAGCTTTAGAGGTACTACATATGCCTACTCGCTTGTGCTTCACGGCGAGTTAAGGATAGCACTGTAATTGTATGGTATGAAACAATTAATAAAATATAACTCATTTGACATAATTCCAAGAACGGCAAGAAAAAAATCACTAAGATGTCGTGTGAGATAATTCGTAGTAATATGCACTCGCTGTCAATGATGTTACTGATTAGCGGATGACAATTTACATATTTGGAACTGAACAGCTGTTACGAAGTTTCTGCATTTGAAATACAAAACCAAATACGAACAATATGTCGCTTTTGTCCTCTTCAATTGGGTGTGAGATATCTCATTGCCTTTCTATCCGAATCCGAGTAAGAGACATGTGTAACGATGCAAAACCAAATACGATCAAAGAAGACAGTTCCAACATACGAAAACAAAAGGATAAAATAAAAATTGAACCACTTAGAGATTGTTATATGTGACCAAAGCACATGGAAGATGTAAAATAAATAAATAAATAAAAAGGATATGATGCACAATATTTAATATGTTAAATGAATGCCACTAAAGTTGAGGTTATTTACGATTTTACCACTTAAGGAATAGTAAACGCTAAAACCAAACTTGTTATACTAGAACTAGAACTAGAATATATTTGTGCTATCCTACAAACCATTAGTTTAACTTCCTCTTGCATTTGTGATGCTTTTGTATTCATTTATTTATGTGGTTGTTGACAAAAAAACCATTTGTCCGGCTTCTAGATTTCAAACTAGATTTCATCTTTCACTGCAATTTGTTTAAAGGAGTGAGGAAAAGTTTGATGTTGCAAAAGCATATGAGTCAATGACTTACCATACTGGACTGTATGGGACATGGATGAAGAAGATGCAATATCTTTACTCTAATATTTCTTAGATATCTACTTAAGCAGCACATAAGCTATTTTTGGCATCTCAAATAAGTTTAAGGTAATTTGGGAGTTTTTAGCCAAGCACAAACTTGATAAATGCTTTTGTTGGATGTGAGGGTTGTTAGGTTAGCGGAAACTATTAGTTTGTACTAATAGATGTTTGTTTAACAGTGAACAACGACATCAAGATTTTATAGATTTTATTATTGAGCCTAGGGAGTATGATGTTCCATACCACATATATAACAAAATATTATAAAAATAAAAAATGTGTGGCCACTTGCATATTGCTAAAAGTAAATATATTAAGCTTAGTTTGCGAGTTGTCACGTAAGCTGAACCAAAAGTAAACACATTTAGCTCAGCTCTCACGGGGTCGCGCGAGCTGGGCAAAGTAATTTCTTGAAATGTGCAACACCACGCATCCTTTCTTCTTCATCTTCCTCCAGCACCAAATAGATCCTCCAGCGACGGCTTCTTCCTCGCCACTGGAATCGCGATCAGAAGAGCGAGAACTAGTCACACGGAGAGATTGTCGCCTTTTTCTGCATCGTTGCCTTTCACCACCGCGGAGGGAGAATATGGGAGAAGGTGGGAGGTGGATCCTAGTATTTTGCTCAGCTAGCGCGACACCTTGCGAGGAGCTAAATTTATTTATTTTTCCTTCAGCTCAGGCGGTGCCTCATGAGGTGAGCTAAATTTATTTACTTTTCACTCCGCATGCGTGGTGCCTAGTAAGCCAAGCAAAGTTTATTTACTTCGCGCAGCTCGCGCGATGCATCGTGAGCTAATCTAAACTGTCTTAATTTCGCTCACTATGTGCATGGCTGTGCATTTTCGCTTCTCCATCAGAATATCCTTGTCAATACACTTTCTTACCACTATATACATGGTAATATGTTTATTTTTATAACTTATGTAAATCATCCTCCGCATTGCCATCGATGAGGGTAATTAATTAGCTAATAGCATATGTCTTTTGTAACACGTACCAAATTTACTTGGCCTCAAGGCCACAATCGTATTTTCCTAGAGTCTCTCGCATAACCCTTACTTTGGAAGCAAAGTACGATTCTATTGAAGAAGAGATCGAGTTTAGGAGGCTCAAGTGCCTCCGATTTTGCAGAACATAAGAGTTCGAAAAGTAAAGTGATGGATAAAAGTAAATATAAGGCTACGTTGGATGATTGAGAGATCAGAGTAAGAAGGAGTTGCATAGGCAAGCTCCCCCTAGGTCTCCTATCCATGCACCCTCGATGATCAGTAGTATACGAGATGCTGATTTCTTATTCCGTTAGATCCCACCTTGTGTCAAAGCATTTACCCGAACTAATGGGCAACAAGGACGCTTTTAATTTCCCCATTGAGGCATCATGTCGTTCGACGGAATGAAGGTCGATCGAGTAGGACTCCAATTTGTAGTCTCATATGACTGTAGTTTTAGAATCTTGCACCTCGAAGGAGCGTTGATCAATTATAAGCTCTCATTCGAATAGACAAATAACAAAATAGAGGAAATCAAACATCACACATATGAAAGACAAACAATCATACTAAATCAAATCATCGAGATTACATGGTTACGACTCCTTTGGTTCAAATACCTACGAAACTAAGGAACTTAGCCAACCATTGGGAGGGGTTCCTGGGTGTTCATCGATGGAAACGAAGATGTAATCCCTTGATTTTGATTTAGGTTCAGCAATGACTAAAGAACGAGTTGGACCAACGATTCAAATTGAATCAAATTTTGTTTCATCACCCAACCGGGCTAAGTGCGAAATTAAAAGTATAATGAGTCACTCAAAGTTACATGTAGCTATAAACATAAGTGGAGATAACTGTTATGGTCAAAAGGAAATATAAGAGGTGCAATAAACTATGCATGATGAAGAAATGACACCATTGAAGTTCATATGGCGAGAATAAATTCTTGAGCAAAGAAGTACAAGATTAGTGTTAACGGAAGAATGAGTTTCGAACAAATTTCGGGGACGAAATTCTTATAAGGATGGAGGACTTGTAACACCCTATTCAAGCTGAACACTACTTTTACCAAAAACATTCTTGATAAAGCATGAATAAAAAATAAGAAACTGCAAAGATTTGGAAAAATTACAGAAAATTTTCATAAATAACTTTAATAGATATTAAAAGTAAACTGTTACTTTAAAACCAAGATTTAACACTTCGCCAAAGCTCAATCATAAAATTTTAATCTCCATCCTTTAGTCTTTAGTCTTAATCGAACAATATAATAATTAGAAACTGAGTCAAGCATCTTCTTTTAAGAGTCTGTATAATCTCTAATCTACTCTAATCGTACTAAGGTAAATAACTGTAGCTCTAATTGAAGAGGTGCCAATCATAAAAAAAAATACATCGAGGAGATTGAAGGAGTTGTACAAGGATTTTACTACTAGGCAACAAGTGGAGGATCAAATAAGCTAAGACAAACAACTGGGAAAATATGAGTCTCCGAAGATAAAACTACAATCACTAGATGTCAGTAGCTATGATATTGGGAGGATTTAATTTTAGGGTCCTTGACCCTAAATAGTGGCTAGGAGGCAACGAAGCAAGAAACAAAAAGGCACCACGAGAAGCCACTCAATGGGCTTTAGTGGCCGACGCTACTACGACGTAGTGACAAAGAGCAATGGAGAGTTTAGACTTTAAGCAACATTATGGGCGCATAAATGAAGCAGGGGAGGGAATAAGTAGGTCATAGGAAGTCAGTTGTCAAAAAAAGGTCATAGGAAGTCTAACAGAATTTAAAGATGTCAATAGGTTAAGGCTAAGAGGAGGCATGGTCGTTTACATACATTGATAAAGGAATCCCTTGTAGATAAACTACATCACTAAAAGAGAGGGTACATGACCCT